TCAATAAGCATGTCCTCAGGTGAGAATTTAAAACAAACATAGATTTCCCCCAACTGAAAACAAAAACTGAAAAGAGGAAAAAAATTCAAATTTTGAAAGTATATGTTGGAAAGTAAGAAAAAAGTAAGTGAAACCTCTTTGGTTTGTATTGCTCAAAGGCACTGCTGTAGGGATGAGAAACCCAAGACAATTTAGCCTGAGGTGTGTTAAAAGAACAACTGACACACCTATTTTGTGTTATGTTTCCAGTTTGGTAAATAACTACTTTCTAGAGATAGTTATAGTTTATTTTTTTGTGTTCTAGATAATCAAGCAAAAGAAAAATGAGCTTCGTCTATGGCTTCCAGTCCGCTTCTAGAAACTGTGTTTTCTTCCGATTTAATTTACTGACCAACTGGAGAAAATGTAACACACCAGCTGTGACCTCACTGAACTGTCATCAAGCACAAATTAACCATGTAGTGAATAAGCATCAGGGCCTGGGAGTAAATCCCTGTGATAGGTTGACTTCTCTGCTTGGAAACTTTCATTTCTATAGGATTTTTAATAACAGAAGAACAGGATACCTTTTGAGTATTAGAAGTAAGGACATTTGGAGGATTACCCCAAAATGTACTGCACAGAGTGACTCTTTTTCAAGACAGAAACTGATAGACGAAGTTGCAGTAGTTCCTGCTCTTTCAGTATCGCATCCTCTAAACTGCTTTCCCATAAGAGACATCAGGAGTTTCCACACTTCTCCACGGTTTCAAGCTGCTCCCATTCCTCTCTTGTGGATAATTCTTAAACCAGTGCAGAAACTACTTGCAATCATTATTGGCAGGTAAAATGCTTTAAAAAAACCCACAAACTTTTGTGTTAAAGGATATTTGTAAAACTACACTTTGAAAGAAAATTTGTTAGATTTTCCTTCCATATTTAGCTCAAAATTAAGATTCAGTTTTGTTATGTATGTATGATTTAATAATTTTGAAAGAATTTACTGCGTATTATCTTTAAAAAATTATTCTGATATACCTTGTATAGACACTTTTAAGAAGATCAGCCTTATATACATGATTGCAAAAAGAGTCAAATATTGATTATAACTCCTATGTGAGAACAGTACTTTACAAATCCCTTTTTTAGCGTATGGAATTTTACGCAGTGGATCATGAAACTGAAGAATTTCGCTTATTTAAGAATGGGCTCTTATACCTAAAACTAATACAAAATAATATTGAATGTAAACTGTAATTGAAAAATAAAATTTAAAGTTCTTTTAAAATTTAAAAAAATAAAATAAAATGAAGGAGTTTATCTTAAAAAACAACAAAAAAAGAATGGGCTCACTCCTAACCAAGTTAACTCTTAAACCATTTTATTTACTTATTTATTTTTCTATTCTATTTTCAACCCATCTTTATTATTTGCTCTTGGTAGTCCTTTATAATAATTAATGTTTTTACAGCTAAATAGTATACTTGATATTTGATTTAACCGCCTCTCCCCGTAATTAATCCTGTTTTCTCTTACTTGCTCCATGAAGATTGAAGAAAGGTAAAGTTGAGTGTCATCTCCTCTAAAGCTTTCTTATGTTTGATAATAGTGAAGTTCCTCCTAGCCTTCCTCTTACTTCCATAGCCGCCCAATTTTGTTTTTTATCAAAATTGAGAACTTTGTACTCTGTAATTTATTGTGTTCTTTATGGTTTGGCATTGGCATGTGGAAAATGCCCAGCTAGTTTAGCTCTCAATTTAAGTAACCACTGTAAAAGAAAACCAGAGCTAGACCATAGTTTAAGCAATAAAAACAGGTTTTATCCAGGAGTATTGGAGTAAAGAAAATAGATCTCAGGATAGAACGAGTCAATTCTGAACACATACAGCATGGGCAAGCAGGAATTTATTTATAGCCAAGGAGCAGGGTAGGGGTCATCGGATGGAAAATTAGAGGAAACATCAGGAGATTCTGCCTGAACAGACCTAACAGGATTCGTGTTGAAGGCAGGTGGGGGTGATCAGGTGTCACCTGGGGATTGCTGAAGGCTGAGGCTCCCAGTTAGATACCAAGATGATCACATATGGAGAATGGGGGATTCTGCCTAAACTGACTTGGTGGGATTCTTGCTAAAACTGGAGAATGTGGGGTCAAGACCTAATTGAAAATGAGTTCAGGAGACCCTGAGTAGAGTTTGCTGGAGGAAAGAATCTTTGTCACAAATCAGCCCTGGTTCTTGGGCCAGTAGCTCTTTTTCATCCTTTTAAATTATTTAATTATTTTTAACTTTTTTATTGTTACTACTGTCAGTCACCTAAAATTTTCGTTTAGAATATATGTTTATAAATTTAAACAAATAATAGCAAGTCATGTAAAGTTTTAAATAGGAAATAAGTATACTTCATAGGTTGGTTTAATCTTTTTTGGGTTGAAACACTTTAGAGGCATTTTCAGTGTGATAACACAATTAAGATAACTTCAAGAAGTTATTTTATAGAATAAATTTTGTCAAGAGAATGATGTATATGTTTTAAACTTTTGTTCTGATTTCAAAGATGAACTCACGAGGAAAACTTTTTTGTCCCAGTCTTGAGAACATTGCTTGTTTTCAGAATGTCTCTGGACCCTATTAAGCAGCAGAGAATATTGCTGCCGGGTAGAAATGGGGCTCCCTAGGTGTTATCTATAAAATCTCTTATTTCCTTATTTTCTTCGCTTATGTGCTCTTCTTATTGCCACTCCTTTGTCATGTTCTAGAGGGGACGGAGTTTCTGCTACTGAACAATACTTATTTCTAAAAGCAGTGCTGAGGTAGTTTCCCTTGTACCTTGCTGAGGCCCTGGCAGATTATGCTGGAAGCCTGATGAGCAGTGGGGGGAATGGTAGTTAAAGGTATAGATGCTTATTTGGGCAATTCATTCCCTGTTAAGTGGTTAAGTGCTCATATTCTGGAATCACATTGCCTTCATTGCTTGGTTTTCCTCTTATTACGTCTAGGACAGATTGCTTAACTTCCCATTGTCTCCATTTTCTCTTCTGTAATATTATTATGAAGATTAAATGAGAAGACTTATGTATAATGATTAGAGGAGACCTTTGCGTGTGGTAAACAGTTATCAGTGTTAACTAGAGGTAGTAGTAAAATAGCTCCTCACTTAATATTTACCTTTAAAGTATCTGAAGAAAATTAAAATAAGCATTAGACTTTTTATAGCTCTATATAGTTAATTTTTTCATCATTTAGCTAAAAATTTTAGAAAATTTTGAAAAAACATACAGAGGAATATATCATAAGTTCAAGTATTTGATGACATAACATTCTAGCCTAAGCATTTAGTTTTGGTGATATGTGCTGATACTTTTATCAGAACTTGGAATTTTTCTTTCTGCTCTAGGGGCCTAAGGAAATGGTGGCGTGCACTCCCTCCCAACAAGAAGGAGCTATTTAAAGAAAGTGTGAGGAAGAATAAATGGAAGATATTCCTGGGTTTGAGTGGTTTCGGATTGCTGTTCGTAGTGTTTTATTTTACTCACCTGGAAGTGAATCCAATCACAGGAAGGACCAAGCTACTGCTGTTGGGGAAAGAACATTTCAGTCTTTTATCAGAACTGGAATATGAAGCAGTAAGTAGCAAGAATTTTTTTTGTTTTTTTAAAAATATATATTGATTTCAGAGAGAGGAAGGGAGAAGGAGAGAGAGGGAGAAAAACATCAATGATGAGAGATTCATTGATCGGCTGCCTCCTGCACGCCCCTGACTGGGGATCGAGCCAGCAACCTGGGCATGTGCCCTGATCAGGAATCGAACCATGATCTCCTGGATCATAGGTCGATTCTCAACCACTGAGCCACTCTCGGCCAGGCAAGAATTGTTTTTAATTAGATTGCTTAATATAATACTTAAAGCAGGAAAATGTCTTAAATATGAAAGGTGTTTTACTTCTTTTTGTTTTAGTCTTTGATAGGGAATTAGCTTTTTTCCCCCCAAAAGGCTCAGACCTTTCATGCTTAATAGTCCTACTGACTATACTGCTTTCCTCCCATTTACCCAGCTAACTCCTTTTTTTTCACATGTCAGCTTAAATGACACTTTTTCAGGAGAGCCTTCCTTCATTATCCAAACTGGGTTAGGCAGGTGGCTACATTGGGCTCAAGGAGGTAACCTTCATGTGGACTGAATTATGAATCAGCTCCTTTGCATTTGTGCCTAGTGCTTGGGGTTATTTCTCCTACTTTATTTTCTCTTTGCATACCATACTTTCCCTTTAAAGCACTGATCACATGAATAACGTAATTATTTACATAATTATTTATTTGCTGATTTGTCTCGCTTGTTAGACTAAGCTCCTATTCATGATTTTATCTTTAGTGCAGTGCACAAAATAGTGCTTAGTATATATTTAGATCTATAGTCTGATTTTTTTGTACCTTGAAAGTAGAGTAAGAGGTGTGTGTTTTTTTTCAGTAACATCAATTTTGACAATTTATTATGTTTTTTGAATGCAAAATAAAGTTGGAATTTAGAAGCTTAGCTCCTTGTAGAGTATAATGGAGATAGTTAAACATTTTATAGTAATAGTGAGCTCCTTGAGGACAGATCATCTTTCTGTCTCCAATGTGTAGCACATACATAGTACATGCTCAGTGGATGTTTGTTGACATCTCATAGCCTCACTTAATAGCTTTGTCAGGGTTAGATCTTTATATCTTTTTTTCCCCAATTGAGTTTCCCAGTTTGTCAATGGAAAGTTACCACTAAAAAAAGAAATAATGGTTTTTCATTAGAACATGTACTGGAACATCCTTTCTAGTAGAATTTATACAGAGATTTGAGATGTTTCTCAGAATATCGTCTAGTCAGGGGCAAGTTTGAGAAAAGTGTTCAGGAAATATTGAGACGGGCCAACTTCTACCATCCACATCACTAAGCAGCTTTAAGAAATTACATATGTGTACATACATATATTCTCTTCCTTCTTATTTTTTAACCTTCAAATTTAATACCGGCTTGACATGAACATTCAAACACACGTTCTTACAGGGCTATTATAAAGTACTGTAATTACAGCAGTTCTCCCTCATTCGTGGTTTCTTTTCTTTTTTGTAGCCTCCATTCTGACTTAATTAACAGTTTTGATTTTACAATACTTGGTAGGGTAAGCGTTCCCCAGTCAGACAGAATATCTTTTCCCAGCAAACATTCAGGTAAAGGAGACACAAGTTATTTGCATAAGTCTGTTTAAACATTCCAACTTTCATACTCCCATCAACCCTTTCATTGGGAGAGCAAGCTTTATGTTCTCTCATCTAATTGTAGTTCACACCAGGACTTCACCAGTGGATTTTGGTACCACAGTTTGTGGAGCTCCCATGTCAAGGAGTCCAGAAACTGTTTTACCCCTGATCCCTTTACCCACTCTGGTATAAAGACTTTGGGTCCCCGGTGAGGGGGGTCGTGTCAAGGGATCTTGGTTTTTTTGTCAGCCTTCATCTTGATTCATCTCCCTAACTATTGCTCAAAGCAATTACAAGTTAGATTTCTCATTATAATCTTTGAATCTTGGCTTTCAAAATGTCTCCAAACCAGGATAAATAAAGCAGACTTGTTTGGGGCTCTTTAATCCTGGGGGTTCAGTATGGGGGTCCTTTTGGCCTGCACCACCTTAGGTAGTACTATATTAAAACCTTTGCCGAGCCCCATCAATGTCCATTTTATTCATACTTACCCATCAAGGGTTTGGGTATTTATGCACTGGGCCAGGGCTGCTGTGATTGGGGCCCCAGCATTGGCTCCTTCTCTTAGGGGCTCAGTGTCATGGGTTCTGGGCAGCTCCATCAGCTGAGATTAGTGTAGGCAAACACTTAGGGAGTCCTTAGAGTCCTTAGTGGCAAAAGCTTTGGGTGTTTCTGACAGCCACGGGGGTTGCTTGGGTCTTTGGCAGTGAAAGCTGCTGGGGTCTTCTGTTCTCCTTTTCCTCCAAAGGGGGAGGTCACAGCTGAGGGGATCCCTTTTAGTGGCAAACCTTGTGGGGTTGGAGGGTGGGCTGATACATGTAAAATGCTATCTATGATTTTCTGTGTGGCCATCTTTGATTTCTGTGCTCTGCTGGTTGCTGTAGCTCCTGCATGTACTCCAGAGCTCTCTCAGAGCTATTTTCATCAGTAAGTAGCTGTTAATCATTGTTTTTCTGGAGATACAAGTGCTGGGACCTCCTATTCCACCAGTCTTGCTGATGTCACACTCCTAAATGTTTATTGTTTCTTTCTTTTTTGTAAAAAATAAAGATAGTGCTTGGGGGGACAGGAATTTTTACATGGTATTGACTTTCACGGTGCTAAGCTCAATTGCGACGGCTAGGACCCAAGGAAAACTAGCTGATTTTGCTTCCCCCAAAGGTACCGATAACTTTCCTTGATACGGAAGTTTGGTTCAGGAGATTCAGAGGACAGAATTTCAGGTAATGATGAAAGGTAGAGGGATTTCTTCTTATAGAAAAAGATAAGTAGATAAGTGACTGGCCTGTTTACACTGAAGTCGACCCATTAAAAGTATTTGGAAATGTCTCTCAGTTTGGCAAGATTTGGATCACAGACCTTTTTCAAGAGCTGATCTCACACTGGAGATTAGTCTTAGCCAAACCCCCTCAACCAGGGCACTTTGGGAAGAGACACTGATCTAGACCACTGGGGTAATCATCCCCAGGTAAGGCATATAGTTGTATAAACTGACCTAAGTCATAGAGAATAGAGGCCCAAGCAGGATGAGAGACCCCCAGACTTATCTGCTGGAGATCCTAAGGCTGAGAATCCCATGATGCATTCCACACAGAGGCACCAGCCCCTCCAAGGTGCTCGATACCAGAAGTCTTAGGTGGTTCATGGTCATAGGCATTCACAATGCTGGGACTCGGGATGAGTGTGTGTAGAGGTTACTGATAAGGGGGTCTCCTCATTCGCTGAAATGATTTGGTTCGGTGCTTCTAGTGCTAGACTTTGCTTAGTTTGTAGCTGCTGCTTCCTCCTCTTGATGTGCTGGTTCTTGAACCAAGTCTTTATTACTGACTCATCAATTTGAGTAGTTGAAGTAAGCTCTGCCATGGGTACATGGTCTTTTCAAATGTATCTTAAAGTATTCTAAGCTGTTCTGGACTAAAGGCTGTGTGGCACCAGTGAGCAGACTGTGGCTTTTCTGCTGTAATACCTTTTAGAAGTATAATGATTTGTTGTGTTTGTTTCTGAGCTCCTTCCTTATTCATGGTTGCAATTCCATGGGTTCAGTTACCCTTGGTCAACCTTGGTCCAAAAATATTAAATGGAAAGTTCCAGAAATAAACAGTTCATAAGTTTTAAATTACATGGCGTTCTGAGTACTTCATTTCATCTCATCACATAGGCATTGTATCATCTCACATCATTACAGGTAAAAGGATGTTAGGAAGAAGCATAATATATTTTGAGAGAGATCACGTTCATATAACTTTTATTACTATTACAGTATTTGTTATACTTGTTTTGTTTTATTATTATTGTTATTAATCTCTTACTGTGCCCAATTTACAAATTCATCTTTATTACAGGTATGTATATATAGGAAAAAACAGTATATATAGGGTTTGGTACTGTTTGCTGTTTGAGGCATCCACTGGGGTTTGGAATGTATCCCCCACAGATAAGGGGAGACTACTGTACATATAATCTTGCTTGTTTTATCTATTTCAGAAGGGTTAATATAATAGTGGGTAAGACAGTTTACATTGGTGACCTGTGGTTTTTAAAAATGCTAACTGATATAAAGACTTACAAATTCACTTTCTAAAAATCACCTATTTTTAATGCATCTCAAGGAAGAAGCTTACAAGCTTGTTGATTTATATGCCAAAGAAATTACATGCTAATTAAAGTAATATTTTTGGAACATCCTTAATTTCAGTGCACTTGAAAGGGTCTTTCATGAATATTGTTTCAGAAAAAAGTGTCTTTATGTGGTGGCTAGTCTTAATCAGCATAGTATAGAGAAAATGATATGCCCATTAGTTCTAAAATTGCAGTCATTACCTTTCAACCTGTGTGAATAAATACTTAAAATTAATGAAATGTGGTGTTTTTTTTGGTAGAGGTTTAACTTTCTTAGTAAGTATAGGGTGTTTTTCTATTCAGGGGGTTAGGAAAGTAATTTTTTTTTGGTATTCTACTTTATGTTCTCTAGACAATGTTTTATTTTCTAAAATACTTAGGAAAATAGAAATAATATATAAACATTTTTTAAATTTACAGACTAATAGAAAAGATGAATGAAAATTTTATTTGCACTGATTTATATGAAAAATCTTAGTTATTAGAATTTATTCAATTTGTGAGAAACCACATTCCCTTTACATGAATAATCAAATTTGAGAAATTTGAGTGTTTGATATAAGCATATTTTTACATAATTAAAAATTAAAATGTTCAACAGTAAATAACCATATAATTCTCTTGAAAGAATTTAAACATTTTGTAGAGCTAAAACTCTTAAAAGAAAGACTAATTTTCTTTTTAATCTTTCAGTACATGGAAGAATTTAAAAATGATATGCTAACTGAGAAAGATGCCCAATACCTGAACATTAAAGAAGTGTTTTATCATTTAATTGAATGCAATAAAGATATTCCAGGGATCTCTGACATCAATTGGATTATTCATGTGGTTGATTCCCCAGATATAAATGCCTTCGTGCTTCCAGTAAGTAAAATGTTTTCAAACCTAAGTTTTAATTGTTAAATTTAACTTTCTGGTTTTTTATGGTGTTCTAATTGCTTATTTTTTTTTTTTATGGTGCAGAATGGCCATGTGTTTGTCTTCACTGGGCTTTTCAATGCTGTGTTTGATAGGCATCAACTTGCCTTCATTCTGGGCCATGAAATAGCACACGCAATACTTGAGCATGCCGTAAGTACCTGAAGTGAACGCCCAATTGGTGAAGTGCTGCAGTTAGCAAGTTAATCTTTTAAAGAGCTAAATCTTTTCAGTTTTCTTTTTTTTTTCTCTTTTTTTGGATGGGATTTTAGTTTTCAGTAATTGTCTTATTCTGTTACCTGAAAAAATATGATTGACTAGTTTGGGGAGTTTTTATGGTCTTTAGTATTTGATATTGAATAATTAGTGTTTCTCTTGAATACTATTTTTATCACCTGTCTCTTTTGCTAAGAAGTAATTATTCTCAACCTGTAATTATTTCAAATTAGATTTAAAATTTTTTAATAATTATTGTAATCTAGTCAGAAAATTAATTATAGGAAAGTGATATTACTATTTAAGTGGGTAAATCAGTTTTCTTACTTTTTTATTCATTCTCCGAGGATAGCTTGGAGCATCTTTGAAAATGTCTAGAATGATATGCCATATATAATTAATGCAGTGTAATAATAATGATACCTTGCCATTTTACAGTTTATTGAGCTTTTTAATATGTACCTTCTCATTCATAATTTTAATACCATTCTCATGAGGTATGTATTTAATATCCCTATATCGTCTGCGAGGAAACCAACGTTAAAAAGGCTCTAAGTAACATCACTGACGTCACAAAGTGGCAGAATTGGGACTTTAACCCAGGTCTCCTGTGTGCAAGTCCAGCATTGCTTCCTTTTACTAGTTACCTGTTTGTTGGCAGCACTTTCTTATAGAACACAGAATTCAGATTGATTTTATGCTCCTTTGAATGCACATCTGATTGATTTGGTGTGAGTCCATTAAAGTAATATATTTGTTTACTCATATTTTATTTTTCATTAAAAAATATGCATGGCTCTTTTTTTATCCATTTATTGATGTACAACAGTGGGAATATAGTCAATAATGTCGTAATAACTGCGTGGGAACACGTGGTTATACCAGACTATGGTGATCATATTGTAAGGTATATAAATGTTGAATCACTGTTGTGCATTTGAAACTAATACAATATTGTATGCCAACTATGCTTTAATAAAATTAAAAAAAAATATGCATGGGTCTTTTGTCCACGTGTTTAGAGAGAAGTACATTTTCTTTCATTGAAAACATGAAGGTAAATAGTGAAAGGATTGTGAAATGCTATGTAGGAAATGCAAGTAATACTAACTTTAAATGGAAATGATAATGTTATTAATTTCTCTAAAAGTTATCTAAAATTCTATCTATTCCTTAGAGTATTAATAAGATGGGATGGGCCAAAATTATGCTTTTCTGGAGCACAAATCATAAAAAATCTTTATTTCTTTTGAGTTGTAGGAAAAATTTAAAAATATTTTCTTTAAACAAACATATACAAGAATAAATCTGAGCAGTTAAAATAGATTTTATCTTTCAAGAAATGGCTTCAGAACTGCAAAGACTATCAATTTTGGCCATTTTTAGCATTTAAAAGCTGTTAATATTTAGTGCATTTGTTTTTCTGGCATCTCGTTCAATGCTGCATTCAGGATATTGTTATCATCTCTTGCAAGTGCAAGAACAATAATTAGATGAGACATAAAAAGTAAAATAGCAGCCTTAAAAATAGAAAATAGTTACTAACATTTCTTTTGCAGAGGTCTTAGACCTGATCAACACTATGTTTTCCCTTTTAGGAGTCTCCATTCTGATTTGATAGAATCTTTTATATTGTTTTCTTTAGTCCACAAATACACCGAGATTTTGCTGCATAGTAGCAATTATATTCTTCAGTAATTAATAATAAGGATTTTTCTTTTCTGTAGTAACTTCATCATTTGGAATTTTACTCTTTCATCCTAAAATAATTTCACAGTTGTTTTTTATGACCCAGTTCTTATCATCAAGCAAAGAAGGCCTCATGAGGGCAGATTATATTGTAAAGAGGAGTATTCTAGGTGGTTCTTTTTAGTTATCAGCCATGTTTCATACATTGAAGTAATGATTTCTATATTAGCAGTATTAGCATTACGTTGACATTTATAATCAGCTTCAATGGTGAACAGTCTTGTGCACTACATGTATATTTAGATATTACTACTAGAAACAACTATTTTAAATAAAACCTTTTTTGATTATTGTTATAAGTAAATACAGAAATTCATAGGACCCAATTTTCTGGTGTGAGATACTAGACTTATAAAATTGCAAACTCATATAAAATGAATCGTACTTCATATGTTAGGTCATGATGGCCAAAAGATTTTTATTTAAAATAAAATTCTAATTTTTTTCTGAACTGTTCCTTGTTTTAACTCTTTCATGTGTTAGGTAGTGTTTAGTCTCTGTCCAAAAGTGTAATAAACACATTGATTTTAAAAAAAAATTAGCAACTGTATTAGAAACTAAAACTTCTTGGGTTTGATTCCTTGTCAAACTAATAGCTGTGAGAATTTGAGCAACTTTTAACTTGTCTCCAGCTTAGTTTCTTTATCTATAAAATAGGGATAGTAGTACGTATTTCACAAGATTACTATGCTTGTTAATATAAGACACTGGAGATTAATGAACCTGCTGTTATATCTGAGTGAGGTGAGTTGCTCCGTAAATGTGAATGAATGAATGAACTTATAAGTATGTAAGCAAGGGATGGTGCAAGCACACTGGGAAATGATAAAGCACTCAGAAGAAAAAACCTCAGGATCTTAGTTTGTGAAGGTCACTTAAGCGTAAGTATTTAATGTGATTACACATGAGGAACTAGAAAATGTAAGCATGTTCTGTCTCAATTTATTAAGTATAATTTTCATTATTTTGATTATTCTTAGGCAGAAAAGGCCAGCGTGGTTCATTTATTGGATTTCCTAGGTCTGATTTTCCTCACAATGATTTGGGCCATTTGTCCTCGAGATAGTTTGGCAATCGTGGGCCAGTGGTTACAGTCTAAATTGAAGGAGGTAAGTCTGAGACAATAACTTGAATTTATGATTGCCTGTGGTGAGGGTATTTTAATATTACAATAAAGCAACAAATGCCAGAGATGTTTTCACATATTAGCATGAAATATGGGTACTAATTTAGTGTTGTTTTCTCATTTTGGGGGTGGGGCTATTCTCTCAAATGATAGAGGTAAATGGGTTAGAAGGGCTTAGCAAGTTTTGGCTTTACCTTCAAGCTTTCCATTTTTGTTTCTCATAGTGACCTTGGTGTACTCACTGGATGACTCTCTGTCCCCCCAAATATTTGTGTTTTGATGGGGAACTCTTAAAACCTGTGGGCACAAGGTTGGCTGAGCTACTTTACCCACCCCCACCTCCTCACTCCTAGTTAAACTGTCATTGCTTAGAAAATATTGAAAGGCCAGTCTTACTAGATGTTTGTTAGCTTTTGTTTTTAGTACTTACATATAATGATAATCATCTCATAAAATACGTTGGGTCTCTTATTTTGTTCAAAACACAGCACTACTGAAAGTAGGTTCTGCAGTCTTGATATTTGCTTTGTTAACTATGATTAATTATTTTATTTTACATCTTTTTTCAAATATTTCCTCTTGTCCTGGGAGGTTTGGTTATTTAGGAACAATCTGTTATTTGTTTATTTAATGATTTGTGGAGCACCCATCAGAGTGCCATCTGGGTGCTGTTTAAATCTACTGTGTAAAATTCTTTGAGACAAATTGCTTTCGAAATTGGATAACTAAGTCTTTTATTCAGTGTTACCATATCATTTGGCTTCATTTATATTGAAATAAATGTTCTTAAAAGGAAATAGAAGAAATGGTTATTGCTTATGTTATAGGATCTCATATTTTGAATTTTATTTCTGTTATGATGTGCTGGGAAGTCAAAGGAGTTAATTTAGTTTTTTCTCTATCAATAGATAGCTTTTTCTGTAACAAAATCAAAAGATTTGGTCATAAAGATAACTTGCTAATTCTTTTTCGAAATATCTTATGAGTCCTGCTACTTCAGGATAATTCTTCGATTTAATAATTAAGCTGAAAATAAAGTAAGGATTACTTCTCTTTGAACCCTTTTCCCCTAAATCAAGTGTTTTCCCAAATTTTGGTGACAAGGAACTGCTTCTCTCTAGAAAGCCTTGCCTGTTGTGATTAGAGAGCAGAGGGGGATGCGAGTAGTGAAGTCCTTAAGGAAGGGGAGTTGCTGACATTTACCTGCCAGAGGGAGGACGAGAAGAAGGAAGGGCCCTCACTTAACCATGGGGGAGCCCTATTTGTAATCTTAAAGATTGGGGTACAATGTAGCAGCTCTCATAGAGCGCTACCAGGCAGGGTTTTGAGAGCTATTAGTAATAACTATAGTAGCTAACATTTATGAAGTGCTTACCATGTGTTAGGCACTAGGATAAACAATAAAGATTAATTACGCACAGGGGTTGAGAATACAGGCTCTGATAAGATGGATCTGTGCTTGAATTTTGACTCTTTAGACCTAAACTCTATAGAACCTGGGCAGGTTACTTCACCTATATAGATCTCAATTTCTTCATTTGCGAATTGAGATAATAATACTGGCTAACTCAAAGCATTGTTGTGAAATGAATGATACCTTTAAAGCAGGATTTATCAATGTAAACACTGTTGATATTTTTGGACTGGATAATTCTTTTTGGAGAGTTGTCCTGTGCACTGCAGGGTGTTTAGTACCCTCTAAACATCCAGCTGCCCCTACACATCTGTCCTCTACCCACGAGGAGCAGGTAGCACTCTCCCTTCCCACCACCATCACCCCGCTCTTCCAGACAATCAAAACTGTCTCCAGATATTTCCAAATGTCCCCAGGGACACAGCCACATCCCCTTGAGAACTACTGATTTAAAGCATTTAGTTAGCACAGTACCTTTCACAAAGCAAGGACTCAATAAATAGGAGCTATTATTATTGTTTTCTCATTTTATTCTCTCTGCAACATGTGATGCTACTGGGCTTAGATGTGTTCAATAATTAGCCCAGGGTGAACAGTTAAAAAGTGTTAGCATTTGGACTTGAATATAATTTTGTCTTCTTTGAAAGCCAATGTTTTTAATTAGTTATACTATCAGTGGACTTGATGGGACACCAGTGGATGAATCATGGCAAGTGAAGACACTATAATATAGTTTAGCAACCTAAAACAGACATTACCGAAGAGGAAGAAAGTTATATATAACGGTCACATACTGTGGATCAGATTGATTATCTTATTTCTAGCTATCACTGACATGTACTTCTGAAAAATTGCTTCCTCAATTAATAGCTCTTCTCTCAAAAGTCTTGCCTATTGATCTATCTCCTACAAAGTTTTAGTGCTTACTGAAAATTAGAATTTAACTGGAAAGCATTCACATAAATACAAGTAATTAGGAAAATTAAAGTTACAATATCTATTTGCATTTTTTTTTATTGAGGTTGGAAGAAAATTTCATTTTCCTAACTAATCAATATTTAGAAAAAAGGAAATTAAGATAGTTTATCAAAGAAAGAACATTCTGCTATGTGGTTAATTTTCCAACTGAAATAAATTCTCTAGTAATGTCACTGGCTATTATATAGCTGTACTTTTTCAATTTTCTTTTAAAACCACAAAGATCAAAATGTTCCTTGGCCGTAATAAAAGACTGCATCAATAAGCTTTCTTAGGGAATTGTCTGCATAGTAGGTGGAGATTATAAATGGATAAAATTAAGGACTCTATACTATATAATAGACTCTCCAGAAGTTTGTAGGCATGATTTTGTTTTTATTCTTTCTATGTTTAAAAAATATTAATCTCTGGTGGAGGAAATAAAGGCTGCACTGTATGTGTTATGCCATGGTGCTCTTTAAATGTTCGTAAATGGAGAGTATAAAAACTTGATTCTAGATACTCCATGAAATGAATTTTAAAAATCTCATTCTGTTGAGAAATAACCTTAATGGAGCTTTTCTTTTCTATTTCTTCTTAGTATTTGTTTAGTAGACCATACAGTAGAACATTGGAGGCCGAAGCTGACAAAATTGGACTACGGCTTGCTGCAAAGGTAAAATGTTCAGTGGTTGAGAACACAGTGTCCTTCACACAGTAAAAGATAAATGTGCATTGTCTTAATGAGATTTGGCATGGGCAGAGAATGAGAGATTGTGCACAGATTTTCATTAACACCATTTTAAATCTGTATCCTCTGCAAGCCGATGCTCTCTTTATCTGTACTCCTTTCCCTTGTTTCTCAGATCTAAGGAGTAAATAAGATGATGGGTAGTTTTTTTTCCAGACTGGGAGAGAGGGTTATCATATTGTAGCTATGATCCCGGCTGAGCAAACTGAATTTTCACCATTGACATATACCGGTAGAAGAGCAGGCTTTTTACTCTGTATCTTTCAGATTATTTTTGTTATAGCAGATGGCTTATTTTTGCTCTCCACAGCGAGCAGCTCTGGGTGTTTACCCTGATTTAATTTAGTTCTGTTCATGTCTACTTATGAGGGCACTTTACACTGGGTTGCTGTTTTTAATCACCTGTGATAAGTGAGTATTATTAGTAGAAGGATTTAACATTAGAAGTAAGACTGAATTTTAAAAGATGAATGAAAACAATGCCACTTCACATATTAAATTCAAATTGCATTTGATTCTTTGTTGAGTTTTTGGTAGTTATTAAAAGAACTAACTATTAAAAATAATTATTATTTGAACTTCTCATTATGAGTTTTATGGATTTAACTTGAGATTAATCTTGACTAACACCTGGTGGAAATATAGGAACCTTGCAATAGAATATTTGGGAGTCATCAAGGATTTCCGTCCAGGTGGAGCTCGTCCTTCATGTCCATCCCTTGCTCCTGAGTACTTCCTCTTCATTTCCAGCTGTGCTGCTAGCTTCTGGTTCTGTTGACTGAAAGGTACTTCAAGCCCATAGAGCTTCCAGCTTTTTGTTGCCCACACTGCTCATGGCTGAGGAATTCACTGAATTAAAACAACAACAACAAAAAGCAGCACACTTACAGATCTAGTCCGCATAGTCAGTTTTTAAAGACTAGTTCTTTGTGGTCTTTGCTTGCTTGTCTGCAACCCCCACCCACCTTATAAAATACGGACTATGTATGGTGTCAGATGGGTAATCACTTCATAAGGTATGTAAATGTCTAATCACTTTGTTGTAAACCTGAAACTAACATGTATAATATAGTATGTCTCCTGTCTCGTTACCTCAGCTCACCTCACCGTGCCCTGCTGAGAGGTTCTACCTCCCTCTGTTGTGGTCAGGAAACTGTCCTAGGCAGAGACCAAGGGCCAATCTGGGGATCACCGTAGGTGTTTCTCTTTCTCTCAAGACTTACATTCTTGTCCTGCCTGTTGTTCAGTACCTGAAAATATTTGCCTCATACATCTGTCCAGTTTTATAGATATTTATGGTGCAGGGGCAAGTCCTGTAATAGTTACTCTCTCAATGGATGGAACTGTAAATCCCTAAAATTTGTGATTCATGATTGCCTGTCCATATTTTATAAGAAGTCACTAAGAAACTTTTTAGAAGCTCTGTTTGCATGGGTTGGGATAGTAGACATCACTGTAAGATTATAGGGCAGTGAGGTAGCTCTTTTTTTGGAGCCTCCATGTGGAATATGTAGAGGCCTTTTTCCTGTGGCTATTCAAATTTCTTTGCAGAGGAATCCTGTAAAACTGGCTGTCACTGTTTAGAGGAGGGAGGTGGGGGTTTTCCTGTTCATTGTGGAGACCTGACTTCATTTGCTGTTCAAACCTTATACCTCACCCCTTCTTTCCTGGGTACCAAACACTGAACCTCCCCGGAGTTCCCATAGTGCAGGGTATCAGCTGGCTGCCCAGGAGGCAGCCCCGTGCTGTGATCATGAGCGGACTCTGGAACTAGACTGCCTCTGTCTGAGAATGTGCTTTGCCAGAGAGTACCAGCTGTGCGTGACCTCAGGCAAGTTGTTTACCCTTTGTGTACCTTGATTTTTCTCGTCTGTTGGATAGGAACAAGAACAGGACCTGCATCATAGAGGTGATACAATTAAAGTCCTAAGAGCACTGACCTTCTCAGCATTGACGTTCAAATGTCAGCCTGTTATTTCCTCTTTATATTTTGCAGGTATCTCAAACCTACTAAGTTCAATGTTAAATCCTTGATTTCCTTTCACACCTATTTCTCTTCTGGCCTCTCTTTTTACAATAAATACACCACCTTATATTCAGTTGCTTTTGGAAAAAACCTGGAGTCCTCCTTAGTACTTCCCTCCTCTTTATCATTTACATGTAATCTCTTACCAAGTCCTGGTAGTTCTATCTATAAAATATACCCCTAGATCTTTCCATCTCTACTATTAGCATCCTTTACCAGGACTTCTGCTCCAGCCTTATTACGGCTTTCACTGACTCCATCTATATTCCCCTCCATTCTGTTCTCTACCCTGCCACAGATAAGAGCCAGGTCTAGCAAGCTAGGATATTCACTTTCTCAAGGCATGACTTCAATCGACAGTGGCCAGCATTTGCCATCAGATTTTTTTTAGTTTCTGGGCTGACTTACCCCCTAATTCTGATTGACACATTCACAAAAAATATTTGTGAATATAATCAGAAGACAGATTTTTTTTAGGCCCAGGGGCCACTCTCTTTAAATTGATGCCCATAGCTCTTCTCTGACCTGTTATGTTGATTTTCACTTATTAATTCAATATATATTTAGTGTGTGCCTTTTATCTTCCAAGATGTAGGAATACACAATAAAGATGGAGCTCACAATCTGAGTAAGAAACAGAGACATTTAATACATAATTTTTACAGTTTGAAGTATTATGATAGAGATATACAGGCTCCCAATTGAAGAATACAGTGTAGAGATGTAAAGTTAGGGATCAGGCAGACTTAGTCTAGGGATTAGATGGAGGAAGAAATAATTTGAAGTGAAGATATAAAAGCTAAGTAGTAATTATCCTGGTGAAGACTTTGATGGAGGTGTTTTAGGCACGGCGGATAGCATGTCTAAAGGCAAGAAGGATGAGGGCCTAGTCTAGGACTTGAAAGTTCTGTAAGATTACAAATAGGTAGAGTCAAGAGCACCAGTGTTAAGAGAGAAAAGTGAAAGGTAGGTGGAGACCTCTTTGTTAGCAATTTTTAGGATTTTATATTGTATCTTGCATAGTGGTTAGGACCTTGGACTCCAGAGTTAGACCTGTGCCTGAACTCTTGTCTCCTCTACATGGCTGTAGAAAAAATCACTTAATCTCTTCAGGTCTATTTTCTACTCTGAAAAAATGGGTATCATGATAGTACCTATGCCAAAGGGTTATTTTGAGTGTCCTGGACTTGATTCTTATCTGTGGCTTGTATCCCTTTTTTTGGACATTAATGCTCAGACTCTCTTGACTTCTTGCCATTTAATATTCATATCACAGAACATAATTCTCTTATTCCTTTCTACCCTTACTAGACTGGCTTCCTTTGCATTATGCCTGAGAGGGAGAGAACATGCTGACTTGAGGGCACAAATGCCCTGTGCCCGTGGTAGTTTTGGCAGTTATAGTTATTGCCATAAATTAATAAGTTGGTATTCTGATTTTATGTCAGTCCTGTGAGCTTGGGAACTGTTCTTGGGAGATGGATCTGTTGGTCATGTGCTGTACCATTAGATTTATGAGCTTTTAAGGCCAAGGGCTAGAGAGAATATTGAAAATTCATTAAAATCAAGTTACTCTGAGGCCTCTTTCAAAATAGGCAGCTTGTCTTCCCTAGAGTGCTCTCTACTTCTGCTCTACTATTGGCTGTGAGTTTATTTTATATATTTACATTTTTATAGTTGTCTTAATTTTTTATTTATAATATATTCAGTTTATCATTATATAAATTCAAAATGACTAATGTAGAGTTAGTAAAAGCTGGCGGGACTCAGGTGTGACTGAAACAGAATAACTAGCTGTTCAGTTCTCAGCTGATAAAAAGATGTCCTGTGAAATATTTGGTTTTGTTGTATTTATAAAATCATTTGTCACTTATATTAAGAGAATTTGGCACTTTACAGTCATTCACAGAAAGGACTTCTGTTTATTTTATTTCACAAACAACTATATCATTCATTTGTAGTTTTGAGTGTTTGTTTCTTAACTATGAAAAATAAAACGTATTTTCTTTTAGTGGTTCTTATCTGGGCCGGGGATGTAGCCTCTTAGTGGGACACTTTATATGATTGTTTTTTATTGTCACAGTGATTGGGGAGATGGGAATTACTGATGCTTAATGGACGTGGAGGATGTATGGGGGGGAACAGGCCTGTTAAATATCCTATAGGATTGTCCAGCCCCAAAAGTTTGTAAGTGGCCCTGGTGAGAGGCAGGGCCAGCTGGTTTCTTCAAGTAGCCTAAATAACTATGCAGATAGCACCATCTAGTGAGGGAAATAGGTAATAGGCAAAATTTACTTTCATCACAGAAGTAAGAGAAAATTCAAAATTCTAAACTTTCAATAATAGGTTATAGAATCGTAGACTTTTAGAACAGGAAGGAAAATTAGAAATAATCTAATCCACCCTCTTCCTTTACAGATAAGGAAATAGGGTCCAAACAGGCAAAGTGATTTGTCCAGTAATGTATACCTAGTTAGTGGCGAGACACTGGGCTAGAATCCAGGTCTCATAGTTTCTTAGGTTAGTAATCTGAGCCTTTGTCATAGCAAACTATCTTTGGGTTCTATTTGGGTTACTAGCTTAGATTCTTTGTTTAGTTATTGATTTAAGAAAGAAAAAAATCTGTAAATGAGAGCATCTCATTTACTAGGTTTGTTATAAGGTAAGCTTTCATAGTATATGCATTATGCATTCATTATACCTTGTTTTGAACCTAATTGCATTACCTAGAAATATGAGACAGGCTTTTGTGTATTTAATTTTTTAGTTGCCATGATTTCAGCTCTAAGGGTTGAGTATTATTATGATAAAGCTTTAGGATAGAGGAAAATATATACATGAAAATGTATTACAGATTTATCGTATTGGTGAACTGACATGCTGGCAATCACAAGATGCA